TGGGACGAGTGTGTACGTTTAGTTGTCGGCATGGTTCTGGACATTTCGAGGGGGATGCGTCAAGGTCGAGGTGGGGAGCACGACGTCATCTGCGATTGCAGAACTCGGTTGTTGCTGATGTTGCATCATTAGCATCATCTGCTGGTGATGATGGGGGTTGTAGTATCCAGATGGGGCTTGATTTGAACGCTGCTGAGTCATAAACATTGGAGACGAACCGTTAGGTAATGTACCCATCATGCGTGGCACATAGAGGGTTCCATCTGAAAGAAAAACGAATCAGTTAATATAAACCAAGCACATCAGGCAAACAACATAAACACGCAATTAGTTAAGAAATCAGCGTTTTTCTGGAACTTTGTGCGGAGGTTTTAGCAAAATCTACTCAGGCAAGAAAGGCATTCAGCTGAAAATTTTACTTCACTAAGAAACTAAACGTCTAACTATAACTTGAGAAAAATAAGGCAGAATTAACTTCTCTATATAAAATAAGATTATTAAAGTAGCATGAATCAAATTTGTGACATTGCAATAAGTCTGGTTCTATACGAAACCTGCTTTTCTTTTAGTTAAGGGAAAAAAGTTAATGTTAGACCACGCCATTTTGATTGCACAAATTTGACAGTCGACATTTATCAATTGAGATGATTCTTCAGTACAATAACTTCCGAAATTCAGTCTCACATTCTTATATAGTTTGAACGTTTCGTTTTTTTGGGAACAAATAACTTAAATATAAGTTTCTCAAGATTAGTCATCGTCCAGTAGATTGTATAAATAATTCACGAAATTGTTGATAATTAGTTCCTGCGCACCGTTGTCGATGAAAATGAGACCTTGACTTTCAATACGCAAAAAAAAGTAATCTTGATATTTAAATCGTAGATTTTATCTACTTTTTGCCCCAAAATTACTTTACAAACTCTATAAATATCCCGTAAAAGCAATTGAATAATTGTAAGAAATTTGCCACGAAAACTATTTGAATATCTAAACAATTTGTCGCGTTCCTTTTTGCATTAATTTGCGCCTGAAGGGAAGGAAATTATTTACTCCAAAACGATCATCCTAATATAAGCAAAAGTTAGTTTTCGGAAAGGTAGGAACAATTTTGTGAGAGAAATTATTGCATAATGCTTCACCTCAATGTTCAAAGGATACATGCACATCAAACCCCTACCAAACGTCAATCAAGTCGATGGATTTTCCCTTAATGCAATCTCAGTCATAGTAGGCAAAGCAAACCCGTTTTTCGACTTTGTGTTTCTTCTTTAATGGTGATCATAAGACCCTAAGGTACATATTTATAGCACAGATGGCACTTTCCATCGTTCTCCTTAAAAAGTAAGACTAGATTCTCATTCAGGGGTGTGCGATAGACTTACCTCCATGTGGTGCACCCTGGGCAACGTATATTCATACGGCAAAAAAGTCTATCAACTGGCAGTTGATTTCTCACTTCAAACTACCATCACCTCACTCTATGCCATATTCGACTATTTCCACAGTACTCACCTCATCTTTGTTCTACCTTTGTGTTTGTCTCTTACATCTTTGAAACACTCTTCTGTTCCCCCCCCCCCCGACTTTTTCAATTTGATGTTCCTTCCCCTCTGTGAAGCCTGAAGTCAACTAAAGGGCTAATGATAACAATCAAAACGCCTGCCATTTGGTATAATAATAATAATTCTTCCTAATGATCTGGAACTTGGACTACCGCTTTCACATACTTTTGATAAAGACAATTATCATAAATCCAATCATGCAAAAGTTAAATTTAAAGACGGTGGGGCAGGAGGTGATATAGGTGCACATTGTTTTTCAGATACCAAGTATTAACGCGCTGTTGCGAAAGCTTTAGGTAATGATTCATACTATTTACGCGATAGAACTCAAGTACTCTCGTCTTTTCCCTGTGTTGTAACATCACACAATTTAACCAAAATGTGTTGTTTAAATTGCAACGGCATGTTGATTAATGGATCTCGCTTTGAATGAATGAATAAGTCTCAATATGTTCAAATGTTACTATACGCACGACGTAAAGAAGAAAGGTATATTCATATATTAGAAAAATTGCCTTTCTACTCGAGTTGTCATATTTCTTGATAAAAAAGTATTGATTTTTACACTTTCCTTCATTTACTAATGACAATAAAGCTTTTCCTCTAAATTATATCAATATCAACTGGAACTTATGTTTTCTCGTCTACATAATAGGAGCATTGTCTTGCATGTCGTAAACAATGGAACCCGAATTAAAACAATAAATAGGAAGCTTCCAAACCTATTTGCATTTTCGAAGGAAGGACGATATCGCAATTGGACAATTGTGTCTCAAGCGCGGCGATTTGCCAGGAACCCCCAGAGGTTGATTTCCCAATGCTTGAAAAAGGATAGGGGACGTTTGAAACGCCTTCTTCCATTTAGACAACCTTAAGGTTGGGATCAGATGTAATGATGAGAGTCTCAGTTCTTTATGACAAATCTTACCGATCTGAGAGGTGGGGTAAAATTTCAGAATCGCGTGTACACACGTCTCTACACCTACTTATCTTTTATAAGTACATCATGTTTTCTGATATCTCGCAGTAAACTGATAAAAATTCTGAAATAAACTTGGGTAAATACCGCTGTCAGAGTTCCACTAACTCCACTCTGTTAACAAGCTTCTCTGTGCTGTGCTGAATTTAACCAGCTCGGTTTACCTCCTCAACGACTAGGAGAAAAAATGTCTTGGAGTGGCAAGACCGACTCTCGAAACAACGGTCAATTGGCAGTGCTCGTCGCATACAGATATTACTGTAATCCTAGAGGCGGGTCGTCAAATTTAATTTTTATGATTTAATGAATAATACTCAAGCTCAAGCCAAAAAATTCAAATAGAGATCCTTTGTTACACCTCAGTATTACTACTGGGATGTTATAAACCATTTGGCCGTTCTGATAACTTATATCAGTTGCTAAGTATAAGCAAAACTGCAATTTATTTATTACTATGAGAAAGAAGAACCTCTATAAGCACGCATAATAAGTGTACCAAACATAGAGTTGAGAACAAATAGTGTATTGACAACTGAAAACGAAACAACCAAACATTTGCACGACCTTTGAATAAAATATTAACGAGCCTTTTCGTTAAGTGAATTGTATTCGGCTAAAGTTGTGTGCTCTTAATGTGGGGGGGGGGGGGGGGGGGGGGGGGGGAGTGAGGGAGGGGAGAAAATCATCACAATATTAGCATCCAATGACATAGTATTGTATTCTGTACAACCAAACACAGGTTGATCTATTCACTGTGTACTAAAACCACAATTTTTGTTAGAGTTAATCAAGCTTGAATTTCAGTGGAACACGGAGAAAAGGAGGAAGGGGAGAGGGAGAGGGGGGGGAGAAATCAAATAGATGAAAGGGGATAATTCTATAAAAAAGACGGATAGCATCAGTTGTTCGCCAGTTAGTAATAGAAGTTGGGGAAGGGGAAAAATTGATGAAGTTCATTGAAAATGCAATTGAAAGACACTGTATTAGTTGTAATACTTTCGGCTCCACCCTCTAACTTGACATTTGAAAGAAGAGAAATAGACAAATTTTGTCCTTTACGGGCGATGGAATCTGCAATGGAGATAAGAAGTG